CCTGAACGGGCAGGGCACACCCTGTGCCTAATAAGCCAGGGTGATGGCATCCACAATCCAGTGGGCCATCCTCTGCTTAGAGACGGCATTCCCCTTCTGCCGGCCTCCATAACAGACGAAGAGCTGGTCTGAGGTCCTGAAGCTTTGTGTCCGGTCTACGTAGCATCTTAATGATAGATAACCCTAACCCTAAGACCCATGAACTGAATTGAAGTATCAGATAAGAGAGACATACAAAATGTGCAAAGCAGTGGGTCCCGTGGACTGGAATTGTTATAATATGTCCTTTACAGAGGACACCAGGACTTTTTTTTTTTTATAAAAAGACATGAATAGACATGAAAAGGAAAAAACAGGGTTTTTTTTATATCACCAATCAATTTTAATTTTTTTATACCAAACGTTGTATAAGGATGATTCTATGTTATGAACTATGTTATGAAAATATAACATAATGATTTGATATACAATTTGCTTTATGCAATATGTGTGTGTAAAATGGCCATAAACAGGTTTTCCCATTACATACAATGTATCTATACACTATCTTATTTGCATATTAATTTGTACAATCATGCACATGGTCATGAAAACAGTTATCTTTTTTTGTATTGTATCCACCCCAGCAAACAAACATATTTCTTAATCAGTGGAAACCGTTACAGTGTTTTCTATCGCAATAAGCGCTTGCATTCAGTCAATAAAAATCTAATTGAATGTAGTTCTTAATATGTTTGAGAACTGAGAAAGACCATTCCATTAATAGGCGCGGCGTCGTGGCCACATAATCACTTCGGGAGTGCATTATTTCTCGGCCTGGAGTCACAATCACACATCAAGACATTGTTCAGATGATTTGTTTCAAGACATTTGACATGTTTCCATCCTGAAACCTCGTGTGTGTTGAACTAGCTAATGTTTTACGCACATCATCCCAAACCTTCTGTTGCAAATTCCAAAACGTAATTTTAGAGCTAATAACCGAGGCTTGAGACATTTATTTGCAGGCTAACGCAGTTATTATATAGAGAAAGCGAAAGAGAGAGAGAGATTAAGTGCGTGAATACATGTGTCTGTGCGTCTCTCAGCAGTGTTCAGCAGCAGCGTCTACTAATAGTGAATCTGTAAGTTGAACTGCTTCAAGAACCTCGCTACTGAAAATGTCATGTAGCTTTTCAGCTGCAAAACTCTTTTATTGATAAATTTGCGGGGCAGCCGCAGCTCTGACAACAACTTTCTGTCCGCGTCTCTGTACTGTGTGTGTGTCTGTGAGAGAGACTGGGAGAAAGAAAGCGTGATTTCCGTACATAAAAAGGTGGAAGACATTGAAATAGTTTGACGTTTTTACCCTATTGTTTGTTATATTTATTTGCTCAATGTCTTCTGGGGTTTTGGTTCTTTTGCTGTTGTAGATAGCCCATAGTAGGCTATAACAAAAATATTATATCTCTTCATTGTGTTTGGGCCCGCCCCCCCGGATGAGCAAGCATAGGTGCGTAGAAT